CTTAGCCTTCAGCATTTTAGCATGAATGTATTGAGCACTGTACAAACTGTCTGACTAGTCAGACTACTTGATTTTAAGAAGGCAGGTTTTTTTTTCTATAAGAATGGAAATTACTTTGCAGCATTTTTTTCAATGTGCCAGGAATGGGATATACATTTGGAAAAGCACAGAGCAGAATGATTTTCTTTTAAAAGTGCAAGGCATGGATTGTGCCTTAGGGGTCTTTTTACTCCTCTGCCCACCACAGTACTTCAACAAGAGTGTGTGCCTCTTCAAGGGTTGTTGAGAGACTTGACAGTCTTCATTCTATGGCTTATGCTGGTCTAAAATACCACATTTTTAGGCTGATTCTTCAGATTAAGTGAATTGCTGTGTTATTTGGGGTTGAATGGGGACAGTATTCTTCCAATTAGAAAATATAAAGCCCATTATTTCCCAAACTTTAGTTTTTGACCTTCCTATTTCATGCAATATGCTTGTCTAAGTTTTTCTGCTGTTTCTTCATTTCACAGTGATGTTTTCACTATTAATTTCAGGCAAGGAATCCCCACTAAGAATTTGTGAGTCTGAAGTAGTAATCACTAGGCAAGAATTGGGGTTCACTAACAAAAGGATATAATTTTTGCTATGGCTTAGATTAGTGTCCATGTTTTAAAGCCTTGGTACCCAGGATGACATTGTTGGGAGGTAGCAGAACCTTTAGGAAAGAGGTACCTTATAGGAGGGCCTTGTGTCATTGATGTATTTGCTCGTAGGGAACTGTTGGAAATGTCTTGTCTTGTCTCTCTCTTTGCTTCCTAGATCATGATGTAAGCAGTGTGTTGTATCATGTGCTCCCATCATTATGTGTTGCTTTTACTAGAGTCCCAAAGAAATAGACTACTCAATCTTAGACTGGAGTCCCCAGAATTGTGAACTAACATACATTTTTTTGTCTTGCAAATTTATTGCCTCAGGTTTTTTTTTTTGTGACAGGAAGCTGACTAATACACACTGAGAACATCCTTCTGTACATGCTTAATATGTCTGGAGTTCAGCAAGACACTTTTTGTAGGCCTTTCTTTATGTTCTGGTGTTTGAAACAAGCACTACAACAACAAAGTTCTAGTTCTGTTTTGTTTTCCTTTTTGGTGTTTTGAGTTGTCTGAATTCCTGAAGGGAATGGGACAAGTTTGAACCTTTTGGAGGACTCTAAGGACATGCCTTCTCTATCTTTGTCTCTCTTTGTCTTCTAAGTTTTTAGCTTTTTATTTGGAAATAATTATAGATTTATAAGACATTTAAAATACATTTTCAGGGAAATCTTACATATCTTCTCTCCTGCCCTCACAAGCAGTACAGTCTTCAGTATACTCCCAATATAACAACATTGGCATTGGTACAATCCATGAAGGATAATCAGCTTTCATCACTTAAAATTTTTGGGGGGGGGTACTAGAGATTGTACCTAGGGTTGCTTAATCACTGAGGCACATTCCCAGTCCTTTTTATTTATTTATTTATTTATTTTATTTTGAGGCAAGGTCTTGTTAAGTTGCTGAGGCTGGCTTCGAACTTGAGACCTTCCAGCCTCATCCTTTTGAGCCACTGGGATTATAGCCATGTACCACCACACCTCACTAAAATGTTCTTTTAGCTATTATAGGTCCTTTGAATTTTCATATGAGTTCTATGAATAACTTGTCAATTTCTGTTAAAAAGACTTTCTGGGATTGTGATTGGGGCTGTTTTGAATAGGCAGATGAATTTGAAGAGCACTGATTTTACAGTATTGAATCTTCTAACACATAAACAAAATACACATCTCCATTTATTTTCTTATACCACTAATTTAGCTCTGTATTATTTTTAGTTTTTAGTGTACCAATCTTTTATATTTTGGATCAGTTTTGCCCCAATTATTTCAAATTTATGTATGATACTTGAAATTGCATTGTTTTCAATTTTAGTATACAGCTGTTCATTGCAAGTGTTATTACTCATGTGTCACAATTCAAGAATGTTCAGAAGTAAAATAATTGGATTATGAAAGGGCTAACAGAATCAATGAATTAATCCACTGATGGAGTAACTGTGTGGTAACTGTAGGCATATAATATGTGGCTGGAGGAGGTAGGTCAGTGGGGGGATATTCATTTGGGGTTTATATTTTGACCCTGGTGAGTGGATCTCTCTTTCTCTTTCCTCCTCTCTCCCTCCTTCCCTTCCCCCTTCTCTCTCTCCCCACCCTTCCTGGTTACCATGTTTTAAGCTGCTTCCCTCCACAATGACCTTTTGCCATGATGTTCTGCCTCACATAGGCCCAAAGCAATGGAGTTTGTTGATTATGGACTGAACTCTGAAACCATGAGCCAAAATATAAACTTTTCCTCCTTTACATTGTTATTGTCTGGTCTTTTATCCAGTGCATTGAAAAAGATGACTAAAATAGAAATCATACCAGAAGTGGGGTCATTGCTATGACTAAAAAGATCATGTGATTCAGAAGCATTTGGAGCTACTTTGCAGGGAAAAGAAATTTGAAAAGTTTAGAGATGCAAGTTGGAAAAGCTTTAGAATATAGTAAGTGGAGATTAATAGGTGATTCTTGTGGGAGCTCAGAAGACCAGAATGCTCAAAGAACTATAGATAATAAAGGGCTTATGAGGTTTCAGAGGAGAAAGACTATTGGATCATTCATATAATGTTCTGGCAAATAATTTGTCTACATTTGACCATGTCCTGAGACTTTTTGTGACACTGAATTTAAAGACAATGTACTAATTATTCTGGGGGAGAAAATTTCAAGACAGAAAAGCGCTCAAGTGGTGGTACAGATATTGCTGGCATCTTTAAGCCAAATTTACTGTGATATTTAGAAACATAAAGCAAAGAAAAAAATTGAAAAACTTGCAGTTTGTCCTGAAAATGGCAAGTAAAACTGGGGGTAAGGAAGTTTGGGTTGTTAAAGACATTACAGTAGATAAAAAGATACCAATTACTTTGCACAGAGACAATCAGAAGGATGTTTTGAGGGGATCTCAGGAATTGACGAAGATCAAACCCATCTCAGGCTCAAGAATGCGAAAGCAAAAGTTTCTTTGAAAACAGACCACGAGGGTCCCTGCTTGCATAGTGGGGCCTAAGAAGTTGATTCACCATGCTTATCTCCCCAGGCACTCAGAGACTGCTGCAGCCATGGTTCCAGGAGTTTGGGCTACTGCTTGAGATTGTGTCAGACCCTGGCATCAACCACAATGTGCTGGTTCTGCAGAAACCAGGTAAGGTATAGCAAGGTTGAAGCTTCTGCAAGCTACCCCTAAAAGGGTGATACACCAAGATGTGAAAAGGAAACCTAAGCTGCAGTGGAAAGCCCTGAGATTAAGAGAGGCCAGTAATATGGAATGTGTGCCAAGGGAAGCTACAGGAATCAAGCAGAGATAATTCAGGAGAGAAGCTATGTGGGCTTTAACCATCAAGGCCATAGGGGCAGAGCTACACACATCATTTCCAAAGAACATCATGATGCCATTTGCCTCAGATGCTGGACGTGGAGCTACACAACTTGCTTTTCCAGTTGCATTTTGGTCTTGCTTTAATCTCATTCCTTCTTTCTATGCTCCTATTTCTCACTTTTGGAAGAGAAATGTTTACTCTGTACCATTATACATTGGATATACATAACTTGCTTTTGATCTTTATCAGGTAACAGTTTGTGTTAAGTCACAGATGAGATTTTGCTCATGAATTTTGTCTTGAGTCACAGATGAGATTTTGGTCTTAAACTTAGTAATACTGAACTGTTAAGACTATGGGAACTCTTGGAAATGGAATATATATGTTTTGAATTGTGAGATTAGCATGAGCATGAACTTTCAGTAGCCAGAGGAAGAATGTTATGGTTTGTATATGTAATGTCCTCCATAAGTTCATGTGTGAGACAATGCAAGCATATTCAGAAATGAAATGATTAGATTATCAGAGTTGTAACCTAATCAATAGATTAATTCACCATTATAATTGGGGGGCTATTCTTTTCCGTCGAGACTAGAAACAGTGTTTTCCCTCCCTCTCTCTCTCTCTCTCTCTCTCTCTCTCTCTCTCTCTCTCTCTCTTTCTCTCCCCTTCTTGATTGTTCTGAGCTGCTTCCTTTCACCATGATGTTCTGCCTCAATTCAGGACCAGTGCCATGGAGTTAGACAACCATGGACTGAGCCTCTGAAACTGTGAGCCAAAATAAACTTTTATCTTCCACATTGTTCTTTTCAGGTTTGTTGATTACAAAATGAAAAAAGTAACTAAAACAGCTTGTATTTATATATAATTATTTCTTGTGTATTGATTTTGTGTCCTGAAATCTAGTTAAACTCAGTTATTAGTGGTAGAAGGTTTGTATGGATTAAATTTTCTCCAAAGACCCTCTTGTAGTCTTTGACAAAAGACTCTTATGTTCTCTGCTTTTCAATCATAATCCTTTTTCCCCATTTTTACACTGGACAGAATCTCTAGCACCTAGGTAAACAGCCATCCTGGATGTCTTAGGTTATAATATCCCTCATATAAACACCTCAAACAACTTTTAGCATATGAATACCTCCTTTCCCCACCCCCACAGCACACACTGATAAAATCCATGTCCAGATAGTTCATTTACAAATATAAACACACTCCCTAATTCAAAATAAGATGAGGATACGCATTAGAGAAAGTATTCACTGAAGTCTTAAAAGACTAGACTGTGATTTCAGACTGGAAACAGAAAACTGAAGAGTTCTACTTTGCCATTGGAGAAAATCAGACAAGATAAAAAACCCATCTGACAGTATCAATGAAATAAATGTTCTTTAATGTATATAAGATGTAGGGGCTGGGGATGTGGCTCAAGTGGTAGCACGCTCACTGGCATGTGTGGGGCACTGGGTTTGATCCTCAGTACTACATTAAAAAAATAAAGATGTTGTATCCACCAAAAACTAAAAAATAAATATTAAAAAATTCTCTCTCTCTCAAAAAAAAAAAAGAGTTGTAGGAGGAATGTAGGATGATTCACATATTCACTAATACCAAAATGTGACTATATTATCTTGGAAGGATTTTAGATGAGATATATAAAATACCATACAAAATAGGTAGTGGTAAGGGTTGGAACAACAAAAAGGAACCATATGATATTAATAACTATGAAGGAAGGCTTGAAGGAATCATTTTTTTCTGTCAATATATATCATGAAAATTGAACTTCAGAAGACAAAAAAAGAGTGACAGATAAATTTGGCACACATATTTAGGGAGTGGTTAAAAAACAACCATAGCATTTAGGCCTCTCCAATATCCTCCATCACAATGGAAGCATCAGGGATGGGGCTGTGTGATGTCTTGGCCACCACAGAGCTCCCATTGGCTGGAATAGTTGCTGGGGAACCAAACAAATCTTATGGGTGTGGTTACTCACTGGCTAGTATAAAAAGGATGAGCAGGAGCCCTTCCAATATAGATGCTGAGAGATTTAGCTTTAGCTCATCAACTCCCCATATCCAACAAAGGTAACATAGCTATACAACTCACCATAAAATGGGAGACCCAACAGTGAACATCAAAGTGAAGGAGATGGAGTCTTCTGGCCAACCCCAAAACAGAGAAAGTGAAAAGGTCAGATGACCCTGTTGTTTTCCTCCTCCGCTTTTTCCCCCATAGATTCCCCACCACAGGATTTGTACCTTGTCCTTCCATGACATGAATCCCTTATTCAGTCTGCACCCCTTATCATAAAGCTCCCCTGGCCACATAGTTTCTATTTTACCCAAAACTAATGCTCTCTACATTCTGTTTCATTGCCAGATACAGAAAATACTTACAAGAGTAAAAGTTGTGCTTGAAAAGAGTTTGAACAAAACAAAAAAGTCAACAATTATCGTGTTTTACTATCAGTCCGATAAGAAAAGAAATCTGAGTCAGCTGGAGAAAAATGAAGGGATTTCTTTTGAGAATTCTACAGATCCTCAAAACACTCCTGAGAGGAAATGCCCAGACTGCTGAATGTGTCTGTAGTATCTCCAGGAAACTATGGAGACATGGTCAGATGTTCAAAATTAAATCTGATAAATAAAGTGAGAATAAGTCTTAAATGAAGATTTTTGTGTGTATTTCTGTTCTCTAATGGTGGGAAAGGAAAGAAGGGAAGGTATTTGAGACACAACAGGAAATGGAGGCCACAGGGTGGGGAATGAATGCATGGGTTCGTAGCCAAATATAAATAATCACAGGGGAAAGAGCACCAAAGATGATTTTCTTAAAATTTTACTTCACAGGTGGAGAAGTAAAGAATATTGCATTTCATGAAAGGTGTATGTGTCTTTCAGGAGAGAGGGTCAGATGGGGAGATCTGTAATACATGAGTTGCAGTGAATACTTTCCAAAAGGCAGGCAACAAAATCATATCCAGATTGCCTACGTCACAATGGTGTTTATTATAATCCAACTAGTGTTCTAAGCAACTGGAAGCCTTAAGGGAGACCAACAATCTCACCCTCCAGAAAGTAACTAGTGGCACCCACACACTAAAATAATGGAATTTGATGACTATAATCCTCCCAAAATAAGGACATTTTCTTTTTTAAGAATCTTCATGTGGAACAGTTGCCAAAGAGGGCAGGGCAGTGGAGTGGCCTGCCACCAAAGTAGGCAATAAAGGGGAATATTGTCTACAGCAATATATATATTAATACAAAAGTAGAAGCTACTTCAATACTCCAACATTTCTAATATTTACAATTAAATATTCTTCCTTGGCGGGGAGGGATGTTGTTTTTGTTGGGGGCAGGGTACAGTAGAGTGCTTTAGACATTGAGTTCAAAGGGTTCAGTTAATCCTATACCTTGAGGTAATTGTAAGACTCTCTTCTGTTTATTTACTTATTCCCTCTCCTTATTTCTACTTTTCAATTTCCTTCCCTTTCTTCTCAATCATTCTAATGTATTTCAGCATATATTTTCATTTGTGAGTGTTAATAAAATATATATTATTGTTAGCATCTCAAAAATTTGTTTTTGTTGTGAATATTTAATGTTTCATTTAGGTCTGGTTTGAAGACCTATATATCCTCCTATGAATATGTCTAATCTGTTTCCTTTTGTAAATGACTATGTTAGATACATTGTTTTCACTTTGAAATCTTCAGAATGATATTTTGATTTTGCTTTCACTCTTCTGTGAAAGATTTGTTTGATTTATACCTTAATGATTGTTTGTTTATTTATTTATTTGTGGTGCTGGGGATTGAACCCAGGGTCTTGTGCATGTGAGGCAAGCACTCAACCAACTGAACTATATTCCCAGTTACTTAATGTTTATTTTTAATGATTGTAATTATGTTCATTTTTATTGTAGAGAAGCATAATTGATTTTTATGTTGAACTTTCTATTTTGAGATAATTTTATGTTCATATGCCATTGTAAGAATTTATATAGAGGACTGGGGTTGTAGCTCAATGGTAGAGCACTTGCCTGGTGTGTTTGAACAACTGGGTTTGATCCTTAGCGACATATAAAAATAAATTTTCAAATAAAGCTTAAAAAAGAAATAGGGAGATTCCAGTATATTTTTTACTCAGTTTCCTCCAATGGTAACACCTTAAAAAGATAATACAATGTCACAACCAAGGATTTGGCATTGATGTAAACCATCAGATTTTCCTAGTTTTATATGTTCTCGTGTGTGTGTGTGTGTGTGTGTGTGTGTGTGTGTGTGTGTTTATTTATGTGAAATTTTATTATATGGTAGATTCAAGTTACAACTCACCAAAGTAGTATAGAAGTAAAGATACAGAAGCATTTCTTCAACAAAAGGATCTGTCATGTTGTCTTTTAATAACAACACTGAATGTTCTGAATGTACTATCTTCACCTCTATAATTTTGTTATTTTGAGAATGTTCCATAAATATAATCATACAGGAAGTAGTCTTTTGGAATTTGATTTTTCCACTCAGCATCAGTCTCTCAGGATTCATTCATTTTGTTGCATGTATCAATAGTTTATTCATTTTTAACCCTGAGTATAGCATTCCATGCTATAGATGTACCACACTTTACTTAATCAATTCTCCTGTTGAAAGATATCTGGAATATTTGCAGTTTCTGACAATTACAAATAAAGTCACTATAACCATCTAAATGCAGAATTCTGTGTGAATGTAAGATTTAATACCTCAGGAATAATTACCCAAGGATGTTTTTTTCAAGGTAGTATGATAGTTCTCATGCTTAGTTTCATAAGAAAATTTTCAAACTTTCCAACAGGGCTGTATTATTTCATATTCCTACCAGCAATGCATAAGTGGTTCAGTTTCTTTGTATCCTCAACAGAATTTGATTTTGTCACTTTTAAAATTTGATAAATGTGTAGCAACATTAAATTGTGCTTAATTTATATTTCCCTGAGTGTAAATATTGCAGAAAGTCTTTTTCATGTGCTTATTTACCACCTGTATGTTCTCAATCCTTTCTTTTTCAAAAGTTAATGATAATGCCTTAGAAAAATGATATTTACATGTGTATCAAGTTTGAAAATGACACAAGAATTGGAAGATTCTCCTGATAATAGAATCTAAGTGCAATGAGTTTAAATAAGCTAGACTGTGGACTATTAGAACTACTACTAGAACAAAGAGATTTTTTTTTTTTTACTTAGGAAAACTGTCGTGTTTCTTTGGTTTAACATTAATATAAAAAAATAAATTCAGAGATTTTCAATTAATAATAAATCTAATGTAATCATGGATAAGAAGGCTGTACAAAAACTATCAGTCCTTTAACTAAGTTCAATGGACAGGTATTTCAAGTAAGAGATGACATTCTCCTCCTATACTGTGTTGATCTGATTATAGGGAATAGATGCAAAGTAAAGAGCATTAGAGGACAAGAATAAATTTGGGTGATTATGGGACTTGAAACAGCATCATGGGGTAAATGAAAGAAAAAAAACTATATCGGGAAGGGTCATTATGGGAAACAGATTATACACTTAGATAAGATTATTTGAGAAGACTAATTGCAAAGCAATGGGAGAACATAGGGAAACCAAAAAACTTGTGACATAACTTAGGTTGGCAAACAAGAGGACATCTGCTACCAACCCATCTGGATAGGGAGTGGTAGAAAACTAGAGAGATGTGAGAGAACTATAAGACAAAAAGTAGGATCTAGATAAAAGGTGAAAAAGGCCAGAAAAATACTGCAAGAAGGGAACCTGAGGACCAAATATTCTGACTTAATTTTCTTTCTTCCAATCATCTGTAGGGGTCTTCCATTGACTAAAATAGACAGATGTTAGAGAACAGAGACAGTTTGGTAATATAGACCATGGTTCATACCAGTTGGACTTGTGAGAGCACAAGGCAGAGTAGAGAAGAGAATATGCTAAGAACATTGAAATCAGAGTAACAAGATTCAAGAGAGATCATAATATCTTTCTTTCTCTCTCTGATATGTATGTGGACATGTAGAAGCAGGCTATCCTAAGACCTGTTGAATGTCTTACTTCTGATTAGAAGTACCTCAATAGGGAACTTGAGTGCAAGTGGAATAGAGTCCATTAAACAGTTGATCTTGGAAGAGTTAAATCTGGAAAATTTAGAAAATGTTCAATTGTAATTTGAGAACATTATGCTCTTTCCTGTAGGCATAAATATCTCATCATACTTGTCACTCTATATCAAAATAACTAACACTTGCAACTATGTTTTCTCTGGCAAAAAGCAGAAAGTTTGTGGTTTTAAGCTTGTTTTCCCTTGAAAAATAATTTTGTAATGGAGAAACCTGAACAATGGCAAGGAGATATGGTAGCTTCACTGCTTATCCCCTAACAATTTGCACTTGACTCAATTTGTTATAGTATCATCAGGATATAGCATTGAGTCTGACATACAATGGGAAACCAGTACATATTTACTGAATGAAGGTACATGCATGGTAAGTGAAGGAAAATATGAAGTTGGAAAAAAAGACAGTGACTCATATTAGATATAGTTCTAGTACCAGATTTGGCTGTAGCTAATAATATAATCTAGGGCTAGTTAAATGAACTTTAAGGTGATGCCCAATTATTTATTTCCATGAATCTACATTTAGTCATCAATAATTGGGATCTTCTACTTCTATGTAAAAATTCAATCTGAGTACAAAAACATCCAAGACACCCAAGCTAATGAAATGAGTCTTTCTAGCTGAAGTTACAGTAGGAACATCAAGGCAGAACTGTGCCCAAAATAATATTCTAAACATAGAGAGAAGATATATTTACCCTACTCATATTACTTTCATTTTAAACAAGCTTAATTTTTCAAAAGACCACAAACAATTTTATTTCAATAAATCTCAAACTAATACATATTGAAACTATTTCCCATGAATTGAAATGCTTTACAGTGAACAGCACTAATACTAATAATATCTAACATTTTCAAATGATTATATTTAACATTTGTTTAGCATTTATTAAATATCAAGCACTTCACATGCATAATATAATATAACCCACACAACCAACTTTATAACATTGATAGTTTTACTCTCTCACTGTCTGAAGAGGATGAAGGAGAGAGGGCACATGGTAAATATTATCATCAGTTGACTTTCCTTCAGAGAGCTAATAACAAATGCATCCTTTTATCATGATACATGTTCAAGGATTGTATTACATACTTTAATTTGAGAGCCTGTATCATAGATTTTTACCTTTTTTTTGCATTGACACATAAAATTACTTAAAATCATGCATTTTAATTATTACTTGGTAAATATATATGCATTTATAAAATTCCAATACAGGATAGAACAGTTGGTTTAATGGAGAATAACGAACCAATAGTTATGAATATAAACTAACGAACCAATAGTTATGAATATAAACTAATGTAGTACTGGTTCTGGCAAATATATATATATGAATAAATGTGTGACATAATCTCTGATTTATGACACTCTACACAGGGTAAGTCTCATTTATCACAAGGGTTGTCTGTCTTCCAGTCTGTGTGCTTTTCTTACATGTGGGATTAATCTGCTCCTGTTATTCTGAAAAACATTTTTTTTATTAAGAGAATTTCATATCTTTCCTATGCACTTGAAAAT